GGCATAATATCCGGCCATGGAACTGGGGGGTAAACTGTTTTGGAAATATCTGTAAATTTTGAAAATGTTTTTTATAAATGATGGCAACGTCTCGACTAAGACGTTGCCACCTCGACAGTCTGTCTATTGTGTAATCAATTTTACCTAAGTTAAGTCAGAATTCACACACCATCTGTACCTCAAATAGTCCACTGGCAAAATCATTTTCTACAGAACCCATATACTGTTGAATGGACTCTTTAAATTACAGGTAAGACAGATTGTGTCTGAATTATTATCTTTTATTCAGAGACCGTGTAGACTATATAATATATATTAAGTAACTGCACTTATACAAATTTCTGGAATCATTGCAGTTGTGTGATAAGTTCATGTTTTAACTCTTAAGTAGTGTTCATGGTGATCATATTTTTGGATCCCAAAACTTGGGAGGCACTCAACACACCAGGCTGAAGCAAAACTTTCCCCATTTCACCGTACGAGGTAAGATGATCTAAAAGTATGTACTCAGCTTACAACTTTACTCGTGGGACGAGACGTCCTGACTTGAGCCCCGAAAATTATTGAAATTATATACAGTTAGTAATAAGTATGCACTATGCATACATAAATATAATACCAAACAATGTACAATGTGGTTTGGCCATTGCTATATATTTAAAATAAAATAAATCTGCCATATAATTATAAAAAATTTAAAAAATAAACCTGAAGAAAGGAGATGGAGAGTACTGAGTAGTTTCAAAAACATACATAGAATTAATTAAATGTTAGACAGAATAAATGCAAGCTTGTATCATTTTATTTTATTTCTCTAGCTCCCAAGACCCGTATTTTAGCCGTTCAATCTACTTTTAGTCATCATAACTGCCATTTATTTAAATTTCTTTTACTTTTACAACTTTACTCACTCCCGCATATTGTCATTCATCAGATCACTGTATAATAATGTGAACGTCTTTAACTAGAATTTCTCCTTCAAAAAATCAGAACTTGAGGTGCTGAAAAGATAAAGAAAACAAGGAAATCAAAGTCGGGGCCAAACACAATGAACAGTACAGCATTGTAGAGTAAAAAATAAACTCTTTTAAAATTGTGCCCTACAGATCAGTACAATTAGTTGCACTGAACAGGTGGTATACAGTCCACTACCTCTTCAATCTCCATATCAAGAAGTATAAACAGGTGGCACTCAGTGATAAAGGAAAAACCCCACTAACATTTTTCCTCAACAAAAACAGGTACAAGAAAATTAACATCACAGGTACTCACATCAGATGGCTAACATGGCTACTATCAGGACACATCCCACTAGCATACTTCCAGACGGTAGCAAACAACTCCAATTTCGAAACACAAGACTGTGAACACTGCCCAGGGGAAGCAGAAACATCACAACACTTCCTATGTGAATGCATCCAGCTGATGACAACTAGAATGAGGATATTTGGTAAACCCATCCTAACAATTGAGGAACTCATCAATAGTAAACTCGACCACATTATCAAATTCGTGGAACAGTCAACAAGGTTTGAGACGATCTATTTGGATAAGCATCTAGGACATACACCAAGGTTCATTAATAATCATACACTAGACCCACACAGGACTATCTCAGATAGTGACACATATTCAGGTGTGGACCATGCTCGGAAGTCCCTCGCCTGCCCGCCAAAGAAGAACATCTGAAGTGGGTTTGCTCTGAGCAAGGTAGTAACAGCTTCGAGACTCCAGAGGTCTGTTGCGTTGATATCTATTATTCTATGTTTTTGTATATACTTAGGGAGTCCTGGAGTGTGGCTAGCAGGAGTCACACTCTGTGGGCACGGCGAGAAGGCCTTCCTCTTCACTAGGTGGCCAGAAACCGTTGACCAAAACAGAGAGAGAGAGAGACAGTCCACTACAATTTAATAAAATGTCCACTGAAATCAGGAGCACAATAGCACCAGCTCAAGCTTGTTGACAACTTCTATACAATCATCATTGCTAAAAGTCGCCTAGGAATTCATAAAGCTGCAACATGCAGCCAACAATACAGCATGGACCTCAAGTGATTATGACACCGCTGTTGATTAAAAATAACCTCCATCAACAAAAATGAGTAACCAGAGTAAGTATCGCAAAACATTCAGAAATTGCCATTAAACTTTAGAACTACCAACAACTATTTACAGAATAAATGTTAGAAAAAAGGATAAAAAGTTATTCAAAAAGTACAACTTGTATGGTGACCTTTATTAAGAGGGAACTGCATTGTTATTAATATTAGATATAAATCCACGATCTACATAAGCACTATTACACTCAGGTACTAGCTCATAAATTAATGATTTTCTTAGTGAATAAATAGATACATTTACAGTATACGTAAGTATACGTTAAATTTCGGTTATTCACAAATCACAGGCCGTTAGATTCATTGTCTCCTAGAGTCCTAGTGTAATGTGTAGTGTTTAGCGTGTAAGGCGTAGTGTTTTGTGTCAAATGTGGATGTGTAGTTTTAAACTAATTACAACACTACAAATCTATTACATTTATTAGGCATGTACGCTAGCATGGCGGCAAAGTGCAGCTGAATCGGCGGGTATGATGGGGATCTGGGGAGCCAGATGGGTGTCTTGAGTTGTTCACTGCCAGTTTCTCCTTCTCTTCCACCCAGCATAAAGCTGGGTGGCTCCTAACTTCACTACCAGGTTGTATATTGACTAAATAAAAATTTAGTTATACCTATTTTTACCACTTTCTTCTCAATCAGTTTCGATTATTCAACCTCCATAATACTCTCTTCTTTTATGAGTCCAGGATAACAGTTGCTGCATCCTCAGCAAGTTTCTTGTTGAGAGGATGGTTTTTTGATGATCTTGCTAGCATAATGACCACTGGTCGCTGCTAACACTGTTCTCATTAATTCTTGTCTTCAATTTTGTTATTTCACCATTCAACTCACTTTCTTTCCTCAGCTACACTTAATCGCTGACAACTGGTGGTGACTGCTCTTGATACCTTGACGGCAATCCAGTGAACCTGAATCCAGCTCCCTCATCTTGGTACAATACAATGTTTAACCTCAAAGATACTATTGAATCGCTTTCATCCGCTTCAACACAGGACCTAGCAGCCCTCATTAAAACTGCTCAGAAGATTATGGATTTTAGGCACCTGGTTGGACACTTGGAATTTATTCCAGATATAATTGACAGTACAGTTTGTTCCGACTTGTTGGCTGAGTGTGATTCCCTCAACTTGTCGGCTTCATCCAGAAGACCTGAGTCACAATGGCTCAGTGTAACCGACAGGCCTTACATATATGTCGATAGTAAGCCAGTACATCATGCTAAGGACATCACCACACTTCCTACTTTCAGTAAAGTTATGGAGACATTTAATGAGAGGTTTAATTGCAAAATGGACTCTTGTTTAGTACTCAAGTACACTTCAACAAGTGCAGGTACGAGTCTGCATGCAGACGACGAAACAACCATGGACACAAATCAGCCCATTTGTAATCTATCAATTGGTGAACCCCGGACGATTGACTTTCTCTCCAATGCTGACAAAAAGGTTGTCCGATCCTTCAGAATGGAGAACAGAAGCCTGGTGCTTATGAAACCTGGTACCCAGGAGGTTATGAAGCATCGCGTTCCTGGTGAATCAGGCGCGCCTGGGACACCTTCGCTGAGATATTCATTATCCTTCCGGGCTATGGCAAAGCGTCCTCATCCACCTCTACCGGATGTAGCACAAACGAAGGGAGCTGAACAACCGTCAGGTCACGTCAAGAGTGATATTGATAACGGTAGCCTCACAGCTCCAGCATTCAGACATGTGTGCCTAATCGCCGGTGATAGCTATGCTGCCAGGCTGGACACTGTAAAACTTGGTAGAAAATGTGTTGATGTTGTGTCTGTTGCCAGTGGAGGAGCAAGAATACATCAAGTGATGGAGCAGATTAGAGATTTTAAGTCTAAGAATGAGTCTGTCATTGTAGATAAGATATGTATTAGTGTCGGAACGAACGACATTAGATATGCGGACTCTTTAGATAAGATTAAGCTTAAATTTAAGAGTCTATGTGCTTTAATCAAAGAACTTTATACTTCTTCAAAAGTTTATTTTCAGTCCCTTTTACCTCTGCCTTGCAAAAGCAGGCATGACTGGAGAACTAACTCTTTTGTTATGAAAATGAATAGTGTCATCAAGAATGAATGTATATATCGAAGATTCCATATGTTAGACGCTTTTCGTCCATTTTCTCTACGATACTTTGATCCACGAGTACCTCATATCAGAGATGATAGATTTTTCAAGGCTGGAGACATCCATCCCAGTGAGGCTAGGGGCATGGGTGTCCTAGCTAAACTTTATCTGAGAGCGGTTCATAGTAACTTTTTTGACCCATTCACTTTTCAGTAATTACTATTAGGGCTTTAGGGGTCAAGCTAGTTTTCATAATTCGAATTTTAAGATATATTAGACTGATTTTAAAAGTTTTTGGAGCTGGATGTCGGTTAACAGGGTTCCCTTAATGCTACTAGATGATAGATCTAAGTCAATATAGATTAAGAGTTGGTATTTATAACAACAGTAAGAACCGCAGATCTAAGCAGGTTAGTATAACAGGTAACTTTGTGCCCGACATCGGGGTTCTTGATGCTTTAAGACTTTTTGTTTTGATTTATTTGTATCTCTATTTTGCATTATGTGTGATGAGTGTGACGATTGGGATGGCTTTGGAGTGTCATTTTAGACCTTTTACTGTCACAGCCTTCCACAGCATCTCAGACAATGAATTTATTCATCTCTTCCACAGTCATAGCAAAAGCTATGCTGCGGTATTATTGTTTTTTCTCTTCAAAAAAGACTGGTGGCTTTATAAAATATTAGGGGCTTCTCCTGGCTTACTTGGCAAGCTGAACTTCACTGGTCTTGAAAACAAACCAGACAGTTACGGATACATTCAGCTAATTATGCACTGCCTCAATATTATTACTGTTAGCTGCATGCTTTGGATACATACCTTGAACGCTGTCCTTTTAATTATTGTCAACCCAAGCTTACTTAACCCTGGGCCTACTACATACCTCAAGGTTGTTTCTTTTAATACGCATGGCCTGATTCCCTTCTCACAGCTACAGTCCGACAATCCTTCTTTTGACAACACTAAAATATTTGAACTCCATCACTATATTCACTGCCATGAACCGGACATCCTCCTGATCAATGAATCTTGGCTTAAAAAGTCTATCATTGACTCTGAAGTCATACCTGAATCGTACAAAGTTTTTAGACTTGATCGTTCCTTACAAACCCATCCACCAGATCCACAGAATCCAAGAAGATTTAGGAAGCATGGGGGTGGCGTTTTAGTTGCTATACGTAGGGACATTGATATTGTATCTACTAAGTTAGAGTACAAGTGCCCGGCAGAGCTTCTTGGTATAACACTCAAATTTAGGGACGGTAGTAAACTAATTCTTTGCAGCTTCTATAGGGTAGGTACTTTAGGGGCCAACAATCATAACGCCTTCCAAGATTATGTTAGGAAGGCAAGGCAACGTAGAGGTGTTAGAGGTATTGTAATTGCAGGGGATCTTAATCTACCTGGTATTGATTGGCAGAATTACTGTAGCAGCAATCCGGTTGAACAGCTCTTTCTAGATACTTTTAGTAACTTTGGTTTAGAGCAACTTATTACCAGTCCAACACATACTGGAGGAAACATTCTTGATCTAGTCTTAACCGATAAACCCCATCTTATCTCCGATATAAAAATTTCAGAACATAATATTCCATGTAAGTCCGACCATTTTGCAGTCTCCTTTACTTTGAAATCAAAGGTGAAGCGCATCAAATCGCAAAAGAGGGAATCTTTAAATTTTAAAAGAGCAAATTGGGATGCACTTAATGCAGACCTTGCAGATATTGACTGGCAGGCAGAGTTCACTGGTAATATGGAAACATCATGGAACAAGTTTAAGGATGTTTTAGAGCAAAGAACCAATGAACATATTCCAAAGATTAAAATTGGAGGCAGGGCTCAACCTCCTTGGTTTGACGCTGAGTCTCATCAGGCCTGCCTAGAAAAAGAAAGGCTACACAAAAGTTATAAAGAAACCACGGACCCTTCCTGCAAGGCTGAGAAGTACTTTAAGTTCTCTAAAAGCAGAAGCGATTTTAAGAAAATTGCCTCCAACAAGATGGCATCTAGCTTTGAGGACGAGGATGATTCGAATCTAATTACAAAGAAATTCTGGTCCTATGTAAAGGCAACATCTAAGAATACTCGCATACCTGAACAAATTCACCTAGAAGATGTACACAAAAGTGATCATTCTGACCAAGCAAACCTATTTAATACCTTTTTTCATCAACAGTTCTCATCGCCTAGTGATTATGATGTACATGTTGATAACACACTCACACAGGATGATATTGATTATGTATCTACCCTTTTCAGTTCGTCTAGGATAGTAGATATTCTCAAGAATTTGAATACTAGAAAAGCTATGGGACCGGATAAAATCCATGGTGAAGTTCTTAAAAAATGTGCCTTTACCTTAGCCCCAGCACTGGAGATTCTTTTCACAAAGTGCTATGTATCCGGCTTCCTACCTTCAAATTGGAAATATGCAATTGTTGTTCCAGTACACAAGAAAGGCTCCAAGAATGACATTAAGAATTATAGGCCAATATCTTTGACTAGCTTAGTTATGAAAGTCATGGAAAGAATTATTCGAGATGAACTTTTGAGTAGATGTTATGATAAAATTGATCCTCGTCAACATGGTTTCCTGCCTCACAAATCTTGTGCAACTCAGATGGTTGAATTCTGCGATAGCCTATCCCTCTCTCTTAACAAGAACATTAGATCTGATATTGTTTACTTCGATTTCGCCAAAGCATTCGATTCCGTTAACCACGACTTAATACTATACAAGCTAAAATTTTATTATAGCATCGATGGAATGCTTCTCCAATTTATGAAAAGTTACCTCTCCGGACGTCAGCAATGTGTAGTTGTTAATGGGGCTATCTCTGCAACCCTACCGGTGTTGTCAGGTGTTCCTCAAGGGTCAATAATCGGACCAACACTTTTTGTTCTTTTCATAAATGATATATATTCTGGACTTTCTCAGGGCACTAATATCCTTTTATACGCTGATGATACTAAAATGTGGAGAGAGAGATATCCCAAGAGGAAGACCACCATATACTTCAAAGCGATATTAATTATCTCATGACATGGGCAAGAACTAATAAGATGAAGTTTCATCCTGATAAATGTAAGGTCTTAGCTATACTTAAGAGGTGGTCTCCCTTAGATGGCATTTTACCATTTACACGTTACACTTACTCTATGGGCCAAACTCTTCTTGATTATACAGATTCTGAAAAAGATTTAGGCATAATCATGACGTCTAATCTAAATTTTAATAGCCAGGCCGATGCTCTATATGGTAAAGCTAACCAAAAATTTGGCATGCTTAAGAGAAATTGTCATTTTATTAATGATCTGAACAAGAGAAGAGTCTTGTATCTTACTCTTGTACGCTCAATATTCGAACACTGTCCCATCATTTGGCGACCAGCGTCCAGTAGCACTATCAATAGGCTTGAAGGATTGCAGAAAAGGGCCCTCAAATGGATTCGTAATGATTACGGTGTAAGCTATAGTGTAGAGGAAATCTATAATGCCCATTGTAAACAGTTAAATATTCTGCCCCTAAAGTACAGGTTTGATTACCATGATCTCAAGTTCTTTCATTCCCTAGTGCATCAATACCACCCATGCACCACTCTGCCTCAGTACCTTACTTTCTTCTCCGGGTCAAGCCGACTGAGAAGCTCACATCTTGATCACTTATCAGTAATATCTTCAATTCCACCTGGCTCAGCTATATCTAAATCTTACTTTTATCGAGCTCATCTCACTTGGAACCGACTTCCTCTTTCCCTTCGAGAGATTATCAGACCAGGTGTGTTTAAAACAGAACTTATTAAACACATCTGGAAGGAACATGTTTGTACTGCATCTGTAGATATTGACCCTAGTTCAGATCCTGACAATTCTTTTTCTCCAGACTACGGGTAGTGTATTTCTCTATTATTTTTGTTTTAAATTTTTTTTTTGAGGTACTCATCACGCATTTTTGCTTTATTCGGATACAATTTTGATTTAGTCTTTTATATTCAATTATTTAAATTTTATCGTTAAAACTTCATTCCATTGGAAATATTACAAATCAGCCAATTGTAATTGAGAATTTTTGGGTTGTGGCAATTATTCTTAAAAACCTAGAAATGCCTCCTAAGTTCACAGCTCATATTATTTGCCCATTTTTCTCCTTCTGCACTTGGGGCCCAATGTAATTGCTCGACTTTTCATCAGGTCTCTCGAGGCCTTTTGTTTGGTTATTTGGGTGTATTGGTGTCCCCTGATTGTTATCATCGCTGTACACTTGTCAAGGCATTTTTTGGTTTCTCTAGTCCATTTTTAGAAATTCTATACAACATTGATATTGTAATAAATTCTGATGATAATAATTGAAAGATTTCAATAAAAAAAAGTGTTTTGTGTCTCACAGCAACAAATACAAGCGATCATTAATTGTTGGATTAATACGATTATGATCTCAACTTTAATAATCTTAATCATTTAATCAAAACTTGGTTCAGTCTGCTCAGTAATATAAAATACTAGCAATAAATCAGTGTTTGGAGGAAAGCTTGAAGGTATACGATTAAAAATAACTATTATAACTAACCAGGTTACAAGTAAGACAGTCAGTATGTTGCAGACTGCAGAGGTTGAGAGGTACATTAATCAGTCACAGTGTGAACTAAAGCATCTGGCTTTGGTCTGACTTCGTTTTCACCGCACTTAGATCGTTGCACTGCTTCAAATCATCTCCTAAACAGTTAAAAACTAAAGCAGTTTACTGTTTAAACGAATAGTAACGCAAAATATTTTTATTAAGAATGGACCACATTAAAATCAATAAATCTTCGGCTGCAACTTCAAATTGCTACATCAATCAAAATGGATACTTGAAGAGCCATAAAATGATGACATTATACAATAGACATTTTACAATATTATTCCCATTATACCTTGAAAAAACTACACAGGGAATTTAAACATAAATTTCGAGATACAATTCGAAAGGTTCGAATATCCAGACAAGATATAATAATAATAATACTGTTAGGTATCTGTGTGTGCACACAAAAATTCTTAACGACCTACTGACATTAAGCTAGTTTTTTATTGAAGAGTGAAAAATGTTAAACAGTATATATAATATATATACAATAAATTAAATCAAGTGATGCAATTGGCAGAGCACAAACGTTAATCCTGAGCAATAGATATCGTCTATCCTTCGTAGCTCTTCTCCTCAGGTATCAGGTTGAAGGAGACATTGGATATAGGGGCGGTCCATGCCTTCTTTGGCTTTCCATGTACACCTCTAACTGCTACTAGCACACTCCTCTTTAGTCTTTATTATATCCATGCTCAGGCGTGTCCTGATGTTACACATCACCTGGCTGTAGTCCTCCTTGGTCTTGGTGGCTATCAACACAGCAAGTCTCCTTATAAAACACTTGGCCTCAAGCTCAGGTGCCATTCCTCCTGTAGTGGTAAATACAGGGAGGACAAAAATGACCCTTTCTTCAATTATTGTAGCACACTGTTCATGCATACTGGTTCTATTTCTCATTCTCGTGCAGAGTGTAGAGCTGTGGCATGGTCTTTCCTTGATATGTAGGCGATTTAGGATTGAAAATACGCATGTCAAAGAAAGTCCTCTCAAATGTGCTCCATACTCCTCTTGCTGATATATCGAGCCTAGCCTTATATCAGCATTGTTGCCCTTTTGTTGGAAGTTGCCTGATTCTATAGGTGTTAACAGGGGCTAAATCCTCAGCTCACATCCTTGGTCACCAGCCTAAGGTATTCAGCAACAGAGTCTCTCATGTTGTTATGACGGTAGTTCTTACAGTTGAGGATATGATTGTGATCATTCTTGGCTCCATAATCACAGATTCTTGGGGTGTTAGGGATGTCCCAACCACACCAGAGATGAACAGCATCTCTGAAGTCTTGCTCGCTATAAGCATACCCTAGCTGTTGAATGGGGAGACATGTTAGCCAAGCTCCTGACCCATGTTCTTGTACCAGTTGCAGTGACTCCCTAGTATTCTCATCCACTTCACTCATTATCTCAGCAAGCTCCTTCTTCAAGCGTAATTCTTTAACTAACTTGAGGCTGTTAACTCTGCCCTTTATCTTAATTTTAACCAACTTCATCAGGGATGCTTCCTGGTCATAGATGAGGTCAACCAGCTCCTATGTTATCTTGAGTGACGTCTGGTATTCCTTTTCCGCGATCTCTACTGGCTCAACGCTACCAACCACCCCTCATCTTACAGGTAGCGCAGACATTCTCCTGTGCAGGTCAGTCACATTCCTACCAATAATTGCCGGAATGAACTTTTCTCTTGACACTTCTCCAATGGGATGAAGAGGTATTAATAGTGTTCTGGATGGTGCGCATCACAAAGGTCCACCGATGACAGAGGGCTTTGGTATACAATGATAGGGCTGCCTGAGGTTCATCAAGAGCAATTTCTGACAACTCTTCTACAGCCTCCTCTCCACCTATCACTGTTCCCAGATGATGCTCCCCATCGCATGTGATCTCTATACCAGTATCTCCAAATAAAAGATACTGAGGTTTTAATACTTTCAACACTACTATATAACAAATAATTTAGGCATGGCTACCGATGAGTAATCCGTTGGAGTAAAGTCTGCCGGTGTCCTGGGTGTGATGGATCTGAGCTAGATGGCAGGTTGTGGAGGTGGTAATCGTTTTTTCCTATTGCCCTGGTAGTCTTGTACTACCAGGGCTCCTGCGGTCTGGTACGAGGTTAGTTTTATTGTTAGAGATCTAGTGATGTTTGAAATTTATTAACTCCTTTTAGCTACTTCTCCTTTAGATAAGTATTGCATTCTTTTTTTTGCTATACAGTTCTTTACAACACCTCTGTTCATTATAATTCAAATTTTTCTCACTCTGAACTATAAATCTCTGGCCTATTAACTGTTTCAGATCCAGATTGCTAGGGTTTACAACGGTGCCACTGAAACATCCTGCTGTTGATCTCTTATCCGGATCACCCAGTCTCCTCCCGATCCTCCCACACTTCACAACAAGATGTTAACACTGCCCGCCAACTTCCTCGCCTTACTGCAAAACTTATCTCTTGAAGTAAAGCAACACATGCATACCCTCCTTACTCAGAGTATCCTGGACAGTCTGAAAGAGAAAAAGCTTGCCTCTAAAATAGAACGTATAGATGAAAAGAAGAAGGAAAAGAAAACGAAGAAGGAAACTACTGTTCAAAATGTCTCGTATAGCCCACATACGCTCGTAGAGCACGTTCCAGTCCTCCCTGGAA